ATTGGTTTGAGGAGTTATGACCAGCTGTGGTTGCCAAAGGCCATCAGCCTGACAACAACTATCTGATTGGCTTCTTGGTGACTAAACAGCTCAATAATGTGCTGAAAGGACAGATGATGTGCTTTTCTCTCCAGTAAAATACCTTAAGCCTGGAGAAAGCCAGATTATTTCCTTCATCATTCGCTGTTGTCAGTTGCTTTAACTGGTGAATAAGAGACTTTACAGTTAGTGTACCAAATGTCTGTATCTTGACCGAAGAGATCAAAAGAACCTGGAGAAGAGAGATTGAAAAATAGAGCATCCTGGCAATCTTCTCAGTGAACCTGGTGGATGGTGTACTTGAACTGCTTCCCCAGGATTTTTTTCTCTATCCAAAGCACTATTTTTTTTTTTGTCTGGTTCAATGAAGGTGGAGTGGAGCTTTAGAAGCAGATTAGAGTTTTAACTGGAACTGTCAGTCACCAGTTCATAGTTGTTCAGCCGTGGTTTGAATCTTTTTTCTTTTGCAGTGAATAGTTATTCTTATTAAGTACAGAAATCTAGTCTGTATTTTCTGTTAGCCTAGGTCCAGCTGACAAATAAATGGGAAATTTTGTGTACTTTAATCATTTTTCAAAACTTTTGTGATGACTCCAAAAATGATAGGGCCTGATTTGCAGTGCAATACTCTATCCAGCCATGACAACATAGGGACTAGACTGGGTACAGACAGCAGATTTCCCTCCCTAAAGGTTGTAAAGGGAAGCAGGTGTTGTTTTTGACAATCCAGTAATGTGATGGTCACACACAGATTCCCCAAGTGCCATAGTGAACAATGAACACAACACCTCTTGATCACTGAAGGCAACACACTGGAAATCTGAAACAAACACACAGATTGTTGAAAAAAAACTTAGCAGTATCGTGGAGTGAGAAACAGAGTTGATGTTTCGGGTTCAGTATGCCTTCTTCAGTGTGTGTTCTGAAGCTCTTCTTGTTTTGAAGGAGAGTCGTACCAAACTCTAAATGTTAAGTCTGTTTCTCTCTCCACAGATGCTGCCAGACCTGCTGAGTTTCTCCAGCATTCTCTAGGTTTGACTCTAGATCATTAGTTCAGGCCTCTGGATTATTGGTTCAGATCAATAATATACAACAACGGCCACAGTGTTACAACATTTTTTTTTCGAAAGACTTTGATTGCACAGAACATGCAAATACCGTTTGGGCTTGGTTGCAATTAAACAATATACCTTTATATGGCACTTTTTTTGCAGAAGGCTTTCCTTTGCTAATTAAGTACAGTTATTTCTGATATAGGAAATTACATAATGAAATTTTAATGAGTGAGATCCTCCAAACTATACGCATGACTCAAGAATCTGTTTAATAATGTTGGTTGAGGCCTAATTGTTGGTAAGAACACCTTCACTACTTTTCTTCAGAACATTATGGGAGATCCTTATACCCTGTTGAGTGAGCAGCATTCCTAAGTACTGCACTGCAATGTCAGATCACATTTCTTGTTAAAGTTTCTGGTATGGGGCTTGAACCCACAACCTTTTGACTCCGAGGCGATATGTACCACAAAAGACAAGAGTGGCACTTAACCAATAAGCATTTGTTTTCCTAAAGTCTGCAACTTCTATAGTATTGCCTTTAAAAAAAAAAATTGTGAATACCCCTTCCAGGAGAGAATGAAAACATATAAAAATGTTGATTTTTAACTTGCATCCTTTAAAATAATATAAACAGACTCCAGTAATCTCAGATAGAGAGATCTTGGCAGTTTCAAGTACCAAATATGAAAAAAAACTACTACTCAAGGGAATTAGAACTAAAAAAAATTCAGTTTATTAAAGCTGGACCACTTCCTTAAAATAAGTCAGATACACCAGTGCAGAAATATTACCTATTGTTGTAGCTTTAACACAAACATTGCAAACAGGAGTTAAACACCTCTCCAACTCTATCAACAACCTGACTAATTTATCCCACATTCAGGGAATATTTCATCATCTTGGTCTAATAAGCGAACAAACTGAACTGACACAAATTATACCCACATTACCACAAAAGCATGCAGGCAAAACAAAACCTCAAACTAAAAAACTTCATGGTGAAAAGTCCCATCTGGTCTTCATTTTCTAATAAAAATCAATTTACAGCACCACTGCACATTACTAATATGGATTCAAGACAGAACAGATAGTTTAATTTCACCTCATTTTTTATCTGTGAAAAAACTGTATCCCACATTTTATTGCCTTCTTAACGCTGATGAATGTTTATGACACATTAACATTTTTAAAAACAGCTGAAGAAGAACTGAATGTATTCAGATATCCACAAAATGAAGTGCTTATGGTACAGCTCATTAAGTTTCTACAGACTGCAGCAAACCGTGACATGTATTTAAAGGGGCTCTGTTTTAGACTAAGCAACTGGCTCAAAGTTATATTTCTATATGAAGCAATATGGAAGCCACTTGTTCAAAATTTTAAAACACCTTTGTCTTTATATTTTAAGATAGACATTTAAGACTGTGCAAGGAGCAGACTATACTGAAATAAAAATAGATTTCTGGTAATAACCTGCAAGTCTGCCAACAACTATGAGGAGATAAAAAAGGCTGATGACTTTTCATCTGAACTGAGTCGCTTGATTTTCTGGGTTATGTTCATCGTTTTTTAGTATTTATTTCTGATTTCCAGTATCCACAATATTTGAAACTATCTAGAGTTTCGATGCTGTCATCTTGCAACTGACTGATGCAGCAATTTCCATGGCTTTAATCTTGCACTCTTCAACTGGAGAAAGGGGAAGTATGATGGAGTCATTCACCAGAAATCTGCTGCTCACCCAGGCGATGAACGGAATCCAGTCAATCTCCCAGGATAAGAAAACGAGGTGGGTGGGGCAGCTATGTGTGTGGGAGGCGAAGTATCAGTTTGCTGATGGTGGGATGAAAGTTGGGAAGTATGTTGGCAGTCGATTAGAAGTGGAGTGTGGTTCCTGACACTAAGTCAAGAATAAGCATGTCATGTATATCTATTAAAACACATGGTTAACAGATTGCAATTAAATCAATCGAAAATGAGAAACATGTGCCTTCTGATTCTCGACTGGTTAAAAGTGGCATGCAGGGAACAATGTGGTCTTCTTGCAGAATTTGGAGGGAGCAGGAATTGCTTTCTTCATATGTGGAACTTGGTTGGATCAGAGGAAGAGGAGGGTGAGCTGTTCCATTAATTTCATAGAATCCCTACAGTGTGGAAACAGGCCCTTTGGCCCAACTGACACTCAGAGCATCCCACCTAGACCCATCCCCCTATAACCCACCTAATCCACTCATCCCTGAACACTACGGGCAATTTAGCATGGCCAATCCACCTAACCTGCACACTTTTGGACTGTGGGAGGAAACTGGAGCACCCAGAGGAAACCCACGCAGACATGGGGAGAATGTACAAACTCCACACAGACAGTTGCCCGAGGGTGAAATTGAACCCGAGTCCCTGGTGCTGTGAGGCAGCAGTGCTAACCACTGATCCACCGTGCCACCCCAATTAATCTTGCAAGGAGCAGGGCCAGCAGGCAAGTACAGAGCTCAATGATGAGATGGTCAGGTGGCCAGGAGCAGAAATTGCTGCGAGACTGTTTAAGAGCTGCAATCAAGCATGCTGGGAACTTTGGTCAAGCTGGTTTAAACTCTGACCTCAATTAAACTGCGGCCAGGACATACTGTGACGTGTAGTGTCCTATGTTGACCAAATAAGGCAAGTGTCATGGTGCTCTCCAGACATACTGGCACCACTGCTACCTTAATATAGAGTATGGAATGTCACCATTTATGGCATGGTGTACACATTTGGGAGCTCTTTACCAGTAAATTCCATTGGCTGAGATCGAACATTATGATCAGGCTTTGATCAATTCACTGGCTTAGTGCCAGAGGTCTTTCTGGGACGAAGCACATTTTAGATAAGTTAACAGAACAAAAGAGACTTTCTTTTTTCTCTCAGAGGAGAAGAAGGCTTCCAGACCACATTGGAAAAGCATGTGCCCTGAAGTTACTTTCAGAGAAGACTGAGAACCATGAGACGAGACATGCACAGAGAACTCAGCTGGCCACATCACTTGAATCAGGGTAGTGTTTAATTCAAGTGAAACTTGTATGTTTTGTATTGAGTACTGGCACTTAAAGAGTTAAAATAAAGAAAGGTTTGTTTAATTAAGTTCTGAGTTGGTTTCGTGCCTCTTGTTTGTCACACAAGGGAGTACCTGAATGAAAGGTTTGAGTACTCCTTTTTGGGCAACAGTGACAGTTGGTGGCACTAGGTTGACAGACAGTTGATCAAGGGTGATGGATGATGGATCAAGGGTCACAAAAGACAAAGCGAGGTAATGGAATGAGGATCAAGGATAATGGGAAAAAGGGCAAAGGTGATTGAGGGAGGGTGCTGAGTGACGGCTTGCTTCTCCATGGATCCATGTCTGGCAGGTGGGGGTGGGGTGGGGTGGGAGGTCGGTGCGAGCTCATGTTACCCCTCTCAGACAGAAAGGCAGACAGAATGACAATGTTGCCTGATAGGGAGTGGTGCTTGTCCTGGTGCAGTTTAAATATGGCAAACAGATCTTGATCATTACAAGGTAATTGCATGGTCTGTGACTTTGTGTGCATTGGCTGAGCCTTTCAAATGTGCATTACTAATTGTCTGGCCACTGTTTGGATGCACATAGCCAGTTCTCCTGGCTCCAAATGTCAGTCATACTTGTTTCCAGGCCCACCACTGGGACATTCTTTGCTGCAACAAGATTCCATCCTACATTTACCTTCATAATTTCCCCTGCTTCTTTCCCCGCAAAAAAAGCTCCAAGGTCCATATTGTATAATTCCAACCATGGTGAACAAAGGTGCAAAGAAAACAATGTCAAATTGCGAATGGTTACTTAATGACAATACAAATTCTGTATGAATGCAAAATGAAACAAAATAAAACACATCAAATTTGAAGACTTACTCTTTTCGACAGCAAGTTTATCCAAGGAGAACTGCAGTTACTTAGATCTGGACCTAATGGATCCCAGAGTCCTTCAGGTGACAAGCATGTGTAGGTAGCTATACCTGTAAACATTGAAAAATTGTCAAGTACATAATTGGAAATAGATTTCATTAGCAACTCCCTCATTTAGCAAAATTTCAGGTACTTCCTTTGTCATAAAGATTCAAATAATCAAATAAGGGCAAAGAAGTTAGTGGCTAGCTAGTCTTTGTCAATACTGCTCCATAACTATCTACTAGAGAACATGAAAGTCATGTAGAACATAGAATGTGACAGAATTCTGCCAAGTAATATAACAGGGCGATGCTAGATAAGCACCCAAATTGAAAAATGTGTTGAAAATTTCTCCCGCCACCCCCTCCCTCCACCTCCACATCCCCATTCCCTGATTTATTACAGTAGCAATTTAAATTGACTATCAATTTTTAACCATCTGTATTTAATGGCTGGGACTTTTCTTGGAATAAAACACTTTTTTCTAAAAAGGGATAAACTTAAGATGAACACAGTGATCTCCTGTCTAGGTTGAGATAACCTCATGAATCTAATGATAAGCAAGAATCTGCTTGAACCGAAATTAGTCTCATTACAAAAAAAAGTATTTAAACTTAGATCTGTATCTCCTGTTTGATTCACACCTTTCTTGAAAGTGGGACTAATGTTGATTTTTGTTGGTGCAGACTCAATGGGCCAAAGGACCTCTTCAGCACTGTATGATTCTAGGATTTTATATTGGGATGAAAGTGGTCTGCTTATTAAAAAACACTGAAGACAGACATGGGCATATTAAAGTGAACTGTATTTCAAGCAATAGCCTATGAACAGAGAAACAGAGAAGGAAAATGGATTGGGTAGCAACAGCACGAGAAGACCCTCTCAGTCTATGTTCCTCTTAGCCCCTTAGAAAAGCAAATCGGAGAAACGTCCATTCACCAAGAATTCAGATATTTATAAATGTCACACTGTGAAGGATACATCAATTGGTCATGGTCTCAAGGTAAAGCTAACACCTCAAATATTCTATTTTGGAGTTTGTAAACTGCATATTCTATATCTTCCCATTTCTTTTACCATACATTCTCCCCTTTTTAACCTTTATATCTGCATTTGTGTATGCGTTTGATGCCACATTTTAATATTTTTCGCAGGGTAAGTAACAAAATTCAATTTTCTTTCACTCGAGAAACCTCTAATTAGTTTCTTCATTTGGAACTACGATTACTTAAGTGTTTTATAGCTGTGAACGAAAACAAAAAAAAAAAAACTTTGTTACAGCGAATTGAGGGGGTTGAAAAGAGAGAAGCCAGTTCACCCCCTCCTTATCCAATCATAATAGATTTAACTCATCTGATTGTGGCAGACATTATTTGCTGCTGAATGTTAACACCTCATAGATTGGTACATGTCACAGTATATTCATCAATCTCTGGTTTTTAGTACAGTTGCTGGAAAATATTATCATCTAAAATGAAAGACTATGGAAAAGGAATTATATTGTATGGCTCTAATGATTGGCTAAAACTGGTTGATGGCATCCTCCGACACTAAAATGAAACTGAGGTTGGAATCAAATCTGCCACAAAGTGAATAGAACCTCATAATTTCAGTCACACACACAGACTCATAATTTGAGTGTTTACAGATTGTGGAATTGATCAGATCCTAGACCAAAACATACATCACCCTTTATTAGTGTTGAAACCCTTTTACATTAATTACAATCAAACAAACTGAAGTTAAATCTTATTAAGTTAATCATTTACAAGAAAATCATAGTTTAAAAATTTCAATCTGTTCAATAAGACCAGCATGGACGTTCGCAGTGGGGGTGGGGTCAACATGAAATTTCAACAAGTTTCTTACCTATTGTTCCCAGAGGACATGGTCTTTTAGCCATCTCGCCAGGTTGAGTTTTGGGCCAAGATATATCACGTTTGTCTGTGGCTTCACAACATTCAGCCCCCTCAGCAGGAAGGTGTGATGCTATTGGTGTCTTTGTCGTGGTCCCAAGAATTAATGGAGGATTCTCCAATGCTGGGGTTGTTGTGGTCTTGATACTCTTTCCTGAAGCTATTATTGTTGTGGCTATGGTAGTGGCCACCTTAACACTGGGACTTTTTGTAACTTCCATGACAAATGACGAAGATGTTGATTCTGAAACAAGGATCCAAAATTATGGTTATCAGCTGAGAACCAGCAGTAAAGCACTCATTTACAGAACAATTGGTTTTATGGTGACTAAATAAGACACATTTTATCTTATTTGCATTATCTTATTTACATCTTATTATTTACATGGTAAACTTGCATTCACATCAAGACCGTGGGGATCCCGTTTGTGAATCCATACATTTTTAGTCAGACACTTAATTTTGCAGTCAAGGAACAAATTGAATTCAATTTCACAATGGAAGTATAGTACTTTTCACATGGTAAAACATTTAAAAGTCAGACATACAAAATAGAATTTGACTCCAAGCCACAAAAACAAATGTTAGGGCAAATGATCATCAGTTTGGTCAATCAGGTAGATTATAAGGAGTGGTTTAGAGAAGGAGAGAGAGATAGACGGGCAGAAAGGGTTAGGAAGGGTAATTTCGCATTTTGGGTCATGGTATCTTAAGGCAAGGCTGCCTATGATAGAACAAATCAAAATTAGCATATAACACTTTAGACCTGCAGATATTTTAAAGGGATGTGGATTATAAGAGAATACTGAAAAGGGATGAGACCACGAAGAAATCTGAAAATAAACATGAAAATTTTAAAGTACAAGCATTGGTGAACCATAGGCTGTGTAGGTTGGTGATCACAGGGTGATGGGTCAATGGGATGTGGTGTAAGGTTAGGGCACAAGCAACATACTTTTAGATTATCTCAAGTTTACTGGGGATAAGAAAGGAATGCACTGGAACACGTGCGCTCAGGAAAGAATGATGATGCAACTATGTGATTGTAAACTCTTGTCTGGGTCAAGGAATTTAAACAGTCAGACAGTCACAGAGTCACGGATCTACAGCACAGAAAAAGACATTTGGGCCCATTGCATATGCACCAGTCAAAATGACCACTCAACTATTTGAATCCCGTGAACAAGCACTTGGTGCATGGAGATAGTGGGAACTGCCGATGCTGGAGAATCTGAGATAACAAGGTGTAGAGCTGGATGAACACAGCAGGCCAAGCAGCATCAGAGGAGCAGGAGAGTTAGGGTTAGGGTTGGTGCATATCCTTTTATGCCTTGGCATTGCAACTGCACATCTAAACACTTCTTAAATATTATGAGGGTTTCTGCCTCTACCGCCCTTCCAGGCAGTGATTTTTAGATTCATAATGTCTTCAATCTCCTCTAAACCTGCCGTCCCTTACGTTAAATCTCTGCTCCCTGGTTACTGATGTCTCCATCAAGGGGAAAAGTTTCTTCCTGTCAATGCAATTATGCCCCTCAATTTTGTACATTGCAATCACGTCCCCTCTCATACTTCTCTACTTTAACAAAAACAATTCCAACCTATCTAATCTCTCTTCACAACTAAAACTCTCCAGTCCAGACAACTTCTTGGTAAATCTCTTTTGCACCGTCTCCAATGCTATCATATCTTTCCTATAATGTGTATTCCAAAACTACATACAGTATTCTAGCTGTCGCCTAACCAATGCTTTATACAGTTCTAGCATAACCTCTCTGCTTTTAAATTCAATGCCTTGACTAATAAAAGGAACTATACTATTGCCTTCTTAACCACGTTATCTACCCGCCTTGATTCCTTAAGAAACCTGTGTACATGTACACCGAGGTCCCTCTGATCTTTGGTTCTTTCCAGGGTTCTAACATTCATCATATATTCTCTTGCCTTCTTGCCCTACTCAATTGCATCACTTCACATTTACCAGATTAAATTCTATTTGCCACTAATTAGCCCGTCTGACCAACTATATCCTCCTCTAATCTAAGACTATCCTCCTGACTATTTACCAAGCCACTATGTTTTGTATCATCTGTGAACTTACTGATTAACCTTCTTATATTCAAATTTAAATCATTTACATCAATTACAATTAACTGAGGTCCCAACACTGACCGATGTGGGATCCCACTGAACACAAACATCCAGTCAGAATAAAAACACCCCTCAACCATCAGCCTCTGCTTCATTCCACTTATTCAATTGTGGATCCAATTTGACAAGTTTCCTTGGATCCCATGGGCTCTTAATTTTGCTGTCAGTCTCCCGTGTGAGACCTTATTAAAAGCCTTGAAATCCAAGTAGACAACATTAAAAACATAGTCCTCATCTATACACCTAGTCACCTGTTCAAAAAATTCAATCAAGTTGGCCAGACGTGACCTCCCTTGAACAAAATCAGGCTGACAATTCTTACTTAATCTCTACCTCTCCAAAAGCTGATGAATTCCATCCCTCAGATTTGCTTCTAATAGTTTCCCCATCACTGAGGTTAGACTGACTGGCTAGTGATTTCCTAGTTCATCTCTTGCTTCCTTCTTGAATAATGGTATAATATTGGTTGTCCTTCAGTCCTCCAGCACCTCTTCTGTGGCTGGAGTGGAACTGAAAATTTCTGCAAACACCCCTGCTATTTCCTCCCTTGCCTTACTCAACAACCTGGGATATATTTCATCCAGCTCCGAGATCCATCTACTTCTAAGGCTCCTAGACCACTCAGAACCTCTTCTCTGTTTACACTAATTTCTTTCATTGTCTCACAGACTTTCTCCCTGATTTCTACACCTATATCATCCCTCTCATGTGTGAACAATGAGATAAAGTATTAATTTATAGCTCTACGCACAAAATACTATTATGGTCCTTAATGATCCTTACTCTTTCCCTCATTATCCTTTTAGTCTTAATGTGAAAAAAGTGTATGATTTTCATTTCTTATACCTGCCTTTTAGCTCTCCTAATCTTTTCTTTTTTGAGTTCCGTCTGGCACATTATATACTTCTCTAGGATTTCTGCTGTTATATCCCTCAGTGTCTTACATAAGCATCCTTTTTTCTCTTAATACAGTGATGTATATTCCTTAACATCCAGTGTTCACAGGATTTGATGGTTTGAATCTCTCTTTTTATTTGAACATGGTAGGTCTGTCCTCTCCCTGTTTCCTTCTTGAATGCATCCCACTGATGTAAGACAGACTGACCTGAAAGTATCTGCTCCCAGTCCACTCTGGCGGAATCATATATGATTTTGTTAAAATCAGTTTTCACCCAGTTGAGAACTTTGATTTCAGGCCCATCCTTTTCCATGACAGTCTAACAGAGTTATGATTGTTGTCTGCAAAATGCTCATCCATTGATACTTCAACCATTTGCCCAGCTTCATTACTTAAGTCCAGGACTGCCCCTCTCTTGTGGGGCACTCTACACAGTGGCTTAAAAAGCTCTCCTGGATGCATTTTAAGAATTCTGCTCTCTCTAAACCCTTTCCGCAATGACTATCCCAGTTACTGTTGGGGAAATTGAAATCGCCGACTATCACTAACCTATTACTTTTACACTTCCCCGAAATTTGCCGACATATCTGCCTTGTTATTTCTCTCAGACTGTTAGGTGGCCTGTACACATTCCCAGCAATGTGACTGTTCCGTTTTGGGTTTTATGTTCTACCCATATGGCTTCAATTGAGGAGCCTTCTAAGATGTCATCTCTCCTTACTGTTACAATCAATCCCTGGATCAAAATTGCAATTCTTCCTCTTTTTTCTCTTTCCCTGTCTTGCCCGAAGACCTTACGTCCTCGAATATTGAGCTGCCAATCCTGCCACTCAACCATCTCTCAGTGAGCAATGATATCATACGCCTATGTTTTAATTTCTGCTCTCAACTTATCTGCCTTGTTTGTCAGATTCTTGGACTAAAATAAATATCATTCAACATTGCCAAACTCCCTTGTACCCTAACTGGCATATAATGTCCATGTCTTCCTGACTCACCTACTGTCTCTAATTTTGGCCATTCATCCTGCCCTACCGAACATTCTCTCTGGATCCAACACCCTGTCAAGTGAGTTTAAATCCTCCCCAACATCACTAGCAAACCTCCCTGCAAGGAAATGCTCCTATATCAGTTCAGGTACAACTTCTCATCTTGTACAGAACGCACTGCCCTCAAAAATGATTCCAATGTCCCAGTCTTCTTCAACGTCAGATAATTATCACTGAGGGGGATGGGGTCAATAGCCAGGGAATGGAATGGAATTTTGCGGTGATCACTGAAGACAATTGGTTTGGTCTGCTCATTGGAAGGAAGACATTGCTTCTCAATCAGATGTTGGACAATTTAGAGTCAGAGAGGTGTTCTTGAGAGGTGCTTGTGAAGTACAGCTGGGTGTCTTCAGCGTAGTGCAAAAAACTGGCATGCAGGAGAAAAATAAACGGGTCAAGGATACATCCTTCGGGGACATCAGAGATAATGATGGAGGGTGGAAAAAGAAGCATTGCATGTGGTTTTCTGGCTGCAAGGAGATAGATAAGAATGGAACTAAGTGAGCGCAGTACTACTAAGCTGGGTGGCAGTGGAAACATTTTGGAAGAAGATAGTACTGGTTCTATACTGATTTTTCTGAGATTATATTGTACAATTTTCTCGTTTCTCCACAAAAGCAGCAAAAGGGTATCAGAGATGAAATGTCCTTCAATACGCCATCAAAATATCAGTACAATGAAGAACGATTTTCCTTAATGTGCACGTCAACAGGCAGCTCACATCACAATATCCCTAAAACCTTTTTCTCTAAGCCCAACTGAAGACAGTGACTGTTGTTCAAGATACAGCTTCACCAGCGCCGATAGTCCCACATTTTCTCCGAGTGGTTACTCTTGATGTGAGCCGAGACAGTGAGCAGTCATGAGCTATTCCATATATGAAAGCTTTACTGCTTCCCCTCCATAATATGTTCACATAATTAGGAGCATCAAACTTTGTCAGAGTACCTTTGTGTCCAACCCAGCTCTCCTCAGCCACCCATCCTGATAACATGTCAGTCTTTCTCGATCAGTTTCAGGACTGTTTCCATGTTTTTCATTGACTGTCACTGACCACCTCAGCTGAGAGCTGTCCTTAGCCCCACCAATGACAATGACAATCTTCAGCTAACCATAAAAAGCCTTCCAAAAACAAACCTACAATTG